TTGGGGGGCCAGGGGAGTACCGCTGGCTCCAGGTCCATGCCGCCTGGGGGACGGTCTGCCACGCTTCTATACGGTTGCCTCCTTTACACTGTGAACTGCCGACTTTGAGGCCCAGCTCCTGAGCCACAGCACCACTAACCAGGGCTTCCTGTCGGCAGTTAAAACCCACTGCTGTTGAGTGGATTCCGACTCATACAGGATCCCCCAGGACAGAGAAAATCTGCTCCTCACAGCTTCTGAAACTGTGGATCTTTACAGGGGCAGACTGCCTCAGCCGTTCTCCCATGGAGTGGCTAGTGGGTTTGAACTCGTGACCTTCCGGTTAGCAGCCCAATGCCCAACAACAAAGATTCATGGTCAGAGTCATTTCTGACTCTATCACTTGACCCTCAGAGCTGCTCTTTAGGGTTTCCGAGGTGGTCAGTCTTTGCACGAGCAGCCAGTCTCATCTTTCCCCCAAGGAGTAGCTGGTGGATTTGAACTGCTGACCTTGCGGTTAGTAGCCCAGTCTTAAATCTGGCTCTTGTCAATGCGACGGTTCTAGATTCTCGTAATGAAGCTTCAGAAAGAGGGAGAGAGGCCTGGGGAGACGGGCATGAAGCAGTTCTCCATGGCAGGAGGTGTCGCCTTTAGAACAACACAGAACTCAAGGACGTGGGGAACCTCAGAACGGGGACAGCTCAGCCTGGGAGCCCCGAGACGGGCAGAAACTTGCAGGCTGCAGCAAACTGCATTTAGAGAAAAGCCAAAGAAAAAACACAAAAGGACTGATTATTCAAACATGAGAGGCAAAGCCAAAAATAGAGTGCAGGCTGGGAGTGCCAAGTTCCGGCCTTCGAAGGGCAGAGGACACACCCACACAGGCTGGTGCTGCCCTTGCTGCCATGGGTCTCCTGATCAGAGGCCGGGCACCTGGGGAGCAGCTGGGGAGCAGCGATTGGAAAGTCAGGGCCCGTGTGGATGCTGAGGCCCAGCATTCTCCATTTCCCGAGCACACCCCCATGGGCCCTTGACCACTACCCTTGGAGTGGGGTGGAGGGGTGTTTACGTGCCCCCCCACTGTAAGTGGGGTCACTAGGAGGCTAAGAGAGGTTCTTACATCGCGGACTTCCCAAACTGAGAAGCCATCTCCCTGGCCCTGGGTGGCACACGCACACCAGTGCCCTGCATGTAACAGTTTTCGCTGTTGGGTAGATGGCTGGGTGCCCGTGGGCAAGTCAACCTCCCTGCTCTGTGGAATGGGGGCACTGGCATCCCCGGCCCACAGCGTGCTCACTCCCCAGCAGGTGCACTGGCCCAATGACTCAGGCTTATTCTCAGGACAGGGCGGCACCGCTGGGCCAACAACGAACAGTCACTGCTCTGGGTCCAGCCAGCTCTGCTTATGGACGTCAGGCTGGCAGGCAGGCACTAGGGGCAAAAGTGGCTGTAGGTTCCCTCCATCACAGGGGCCTGCTGCTCCATATCCCATGCCAGGCAAACCCAG